TCTAATTGGATTTCGTAATCCATGTACTATTGAAAATTCGAATAAGCCCAGGTGCGTGTTACTACTCGTGCCTGAGAGAACTCAGGGCTGTCAGAACACTTCAGGCACCTACTTTGGGACAATCTGAGACTGTCTGAAAAGGAATTAACCCTCTACGTTCAGCCGTGTCGATTCAATTCGATTTTGAAATCCATGTACTATTGAAATTCGAATAAGCCCAGGTGCGTGTTACTACTCGTGCCTGAGAGAACTCAGGGCTGTCAGAACACTTCAGGCACCTACTTTGGGACAATCTGAGACTGTCTGAAAAGGAATTAACCCTGTACGTTCAGCCGTGTCGATTCAATTCGATTTCGAAATTCATGTACTATTGAAATTCGAATAAGCACAGGTGCGTGTTACTACTCTTCCCTGAGAGAACTCAGGGCTGTCAGAACCCTTCAGGCACCTACTTTGGGACAATCTGAGACTGTCTGAAAAGGAATTAACCCTGTACGTTCAGCCGTGTCGATTCAATTCGATTTCGAAATTCATGTACTATTGAAATTCGAATAAGCACAGGTGCGTGTTACTACTCGTGCCTGAGAGAACTCAGGGCTGTCAGAACCCTTCAGGCACCTACTTTGGGACAATCTGAGACTGTCTGAAAAGGAATTAACCCTCTACGTTCAGCCGTGTCGATTCAATTCGATTTTGAAATCCATGTACTATTGAAATTCGAATAAGCCCAGGTGCGTGTTACTACTCGTGCCTGAGAGAACTCAGGGCTGTCAGAACACTTCAGGCACCTACTTTGGGACAATCTGAGACTGTCTGAAAAGGAATTAACCCTGTACGTTCAGCCGTGTCGATTCAATTCGATTTCGAAATTCATGTACTATTGAAATTCGAATAAGCACAGGTGCGTGTTACTACTCGTGCCTGAGAGAACTCAGGGCTGTCAGAACCCTTCAGGCACCTACTTTGGGACAATCTGAGACTGTCTGAAAAGGAATGAACCCTGTACGTTCAGCCGTGTCGA